AAATTCATCACGATTATCATTATTGTCTTGCCTAAATTATATGTACAATAATTATTAAAATAATGTGTAAGCGAAAAATATATTTCAAATTGCATTCTAATTAATTATCCTTCTAAAAATTTGATGATTAAAATAAAAGCTATTCAGCGGGATAAATAATTTTAATCTTTCATACGCCTACGTTTTTCGAAATTGCACAAACCGAACGTTTTTGGACAATAAGCGAAGTGAACAATAATCCCAAATATTTGCGTATGCCTGCGTATCTCATATGCGTTCCTATATCTATATTGCTTATGGATTAAGCGAAATATATGGCGGTGAAACAGACGCTAATACTGGCGCACAGGTAGCGCGATAGTTCTCATGAGCGAATTGCTCGGATGCTTCGAGTTCCTGCAAGGCGGGGCCGATACATGGAATTCAGTTACAGCGATGCCTTAATGGTGCAGTGGGCTTTACTCCAAGTGTATTCTAATATACACATTTAAGTGGTTAACGCATTACCGAATTGCAAGTTGAATCGACTCGCGGAGCAATTGATCGCCTTGACATTTCTCCACGCTTTCGCATAATGGAGATTCTATCCATGAGATATTTCCCGCCATCCGATAACATTTACCTAGCTTGCCTTGCCGTGCCGTAAAAAGTACCACGGGAAAAGCACAGAAGATTAATTCGCATGACCGGTACGTACAAGCGACGCGAATAAAAATGCTCGTAAAAGTAGTAAAAAGGAAAAGTAAGGAAGGCTTCCGCAATATTGCAATTGCGATGTCTCTTTCTGATTTGTAATAAACTGAATCGATAGTTAATCGAGTTCGTTCAATACTTGTAAACTCGAATTCACTTGCACAATTTCTTGTGTAAACAAACATTTATTTCTAGATACATTATGCAAATTAATACAAAAGCTGCTTGGATAATTTGAAAATTTAAAAGCTGGAATACTTAGGCGGTACATTTATGTACGTTCTTCTCTCAAAATGCAAATATTTAAGATTGTAAAAAATTATTATTACGTTTGAAGAAAATATGTGACAGTAATGGAAAATATGTGACAGTAATGCTATTCATATTTCTTCATATTTCATGAAAGTACTTAAAAAAAAATGATTTTGGAAGAAATTTACTTTAAAAAGCTGAGCATAAAATAAAATCAACTTTTCATGCATATTATATATATATTTTTTTTTTTCACATGAAGGCAGAATAGACTAAATTAAGAAGAAAAGTCCTTTACCATTTTGCAATTTTTGCAATAGTTAACAAGAGATTAATTGTTAAAAATTGCCGAAAATTAGTCTTTAATAATTTTTTTCTCAAATACTGTTAACTTTACAGAAAACCTGCAAAAAAACGAAAAATATTTATTTTCTTCTCATAGAACTCTACAAATGTTTTCAGAATTTTATCAAATTTTTCATATATTTCAATTCTTAAAAATACATACGTTTCGACCTATTTGTCAGGTCATCTTCAGTGTATACATGTCAATAAATTAACGCGAATTTAATAAAAATCATAAAACTGACAAATAGGTCAAAATATGTTTTTAAGAATTGAAATATAGGAAATTTGACTCTTAGCCGTTCTGTTATTCATTTTTGTTTATTATTATTGATTATAAATTTATCTTTATATTTTATCAACTTTTTAGTACTGCATTTTCTCATTTTTACCAACATGAGAAAATACGGTATTAAAAAATTCTGAAAAAATTCTAAACAAATTCTTAGAGCTCTGTGAGAAGAAGATAAACAATTTTTGTCTCTTGCAGTTTTTCTGTAAAGTTGATATTTGAGTAAAAATTGTTAGTAATTAATATTTTGTTAACTATTACAAAAATTGCATTGATAGAGGATTTTTCTTCTTAGTTTAGTCCATTCTGCCCTTATACGAAAGATCATTATTTTCTAAACAATCTGTATATATACATTTTTTTGTACCATTAATTGCAAGGAATTCTATAAAAAATTAACCCTCAGTAATAAATACAATGATTTTCTGATCCTTTATTACACACAGATTATTCGTGTCTCGATTAATCGACAAGTATTTTTTTTTTAGTATTGACAAAATTTACTTTATTGCGTAATAAAATATAAGTGTGTAAAACTCCTGAGAGTTGTTTATGCTTATCAATCTTAAGAATAGTACAATTTACTTTACTATAAGGTAGTAATAATCACTTAAAATGATGTACTATATATATATAT